ATTGAAAAACAAATTGAAATCTTTTAGGTGGATGGAAGTAAAAATAAAAAACTAAGATAATATGGTTGCATAAGTTTTTTTATTTTTACTTCCATCCACCCAAAAGATTTCAATTTGTTGTTCAACCGTGTTGTACAGTTTATAGGTTACATTAAAGGTGGAAAAAGTTCTGAAATGATTTACATATATTTGTCTCATCTCTTTACATCACAGAAACCTGACATTTTAACAGGTGTGTGTAGACTTTTAATATCCACTGTGTATTTATATATATATATATATATATATATATATATATATATATATATATATATACTCCCTTTACGCAAGCCCTGAACTGACAGATAAGCCTTTCCTGTTGCACCCGAAATATCAGGAGTGCCAAATTTAACAAAAGCTAGGCTTCCCTGCTAAATGTCAAGGTGTTGTGAGTCAGAAGCTACTGATTTGCATTATTAGCTCCCCCAAGGAGAGGATGGAAAAAAGCATAGACACACAATTGTATTTAGAGATTTTTACTGCTTGTTCATTGCAATCTATATGCAAGTTATCTCAACTTTTGTTTTACTTAAAGTATTTTTAAACCCAAGAACAAAGATGTAATATATTGCAGCATGCCAGTTCTTAGATGTGGTGGCTGCCTGAATTTTTCTTTTCAGACTAAGTACATTTTGTGTAAATACAGGAAAAATACTTGTTGATCTTGCCAGAAATCCAGGGTCCATGTAATATCTTGAGCACTTACCTGAAGTTATCAGCCCTCTCAGTTCTTCTCTGTCAACTACAGAAAACCTGCCCCCTATGTTTTAGAAAAGAGTATAAGAAGAGGATGTTTGTAGTTCCAAGCTGCAGAGCATCCTAGGGTGACTTCCCCTGCATAGATACTGTACATAGGAAGTGTGTTACAGGCAAAATCAAAAGTTGAACATAAATTTAAAAAACCTTAAAAAATAAAACTAATGCAGTCACTACATCCAAGGACTTGAAAGCTGCAGTGTATTACATTTTATTCTTGGGTTTATATACAATTAAATAATGTGATTAAATCTACTCATTAAACATCACCTATAGCACGTTCTGAGCCAGTATTGTGTTTACCCAGGTGTACTGATCGTTTGAAAGGCTAGCTTTGCTTATTCATACAAATGCTTAGCAACAGTTTAGACTTTTGGAAAATTCTATATATTATTTAAAGGGGATCTTCTTGTTCTCACTGGAGAAGTCTGCTACCATTAGAAGCTACATCCTATTTAATTTGAGTGTTCAGTAGGTGAGTCCAAATCCAAAGGATCACGCCTGACCATGCTCAGAGCAAATGGTAGTCTCAGGCCTTCCTTCTGTGTGCTATAAAGCTGGATTATAAATTCCAGATTTGCTGCAGGAGTATTCCTGCCTTACCTGCCCTACTTCTTAGATCTGACCCCTTCTGGTACAGCACAACCTAAAGTTACATAAAGGGATATGCTCAACATATTTATACACGCGTGCACATGTCTAGGATTACTAAAGCAGTTAGCACCGGTTGCACTGTATGAAACATAGCAACATACCTAATATCACTGTGGCAAGGGAACCCTTGTTAAAGTCATTTCATCTGAGGTCACCTGGAAGAATTCCCTTTATATTGGTAGTCAAATGCTCTCCTTTCAGTAGAGGTCGAAAAATTCTACCCTTACAGACAGTAAAATGACAATTAGTGTCATGCCTCTGGCTCTATTTATTGGACACAGGACTATGTATGCACCATCATATTGGAGGCCAAGCTCATGGAACCCCTAGCCACCTCTGGAGGAACCCTAGGTTTCAGTGTAACCCAGGTTAAGAATGCTTTCTCTACAAGGACACTTGAAGAAAATTGATTAGAATAAAGCAGGCACTTGCAGACACTACAGTAGTATTGCTGTAAATATAAGAGACTGTCTGGAGACCAATGATATGTAACTAGAACTTACTGATAGTAAAGCCACACATATCAAAGAGTACTTGACAAAAACCCCACTCTAGAGGGTACGTGGTAAAACTGGCTTAAATAAGGAGGTACATGGTTTAAAGTTGATAAAAACTGACTTTTACTATATGACAAAATTGTAGCTCAAATTCCATTGTGTTAATTGGTGTTAATTGGTGTGTAAATTTAAATGAATACCTGGAATTGTAGGAGCAAAGCACGAAGTTGGACAAGCCACAATGGCTCCTGGTTCTGTTCCAGTTCAGGCTGTTCTAGAATCTGGAGATCCGAGTATCTCAGGCGTTCTGCAAGCTAAAAGTATTAGACACAGGAGAGCTTCAAAAGACGTGATACCCTTACATGAACATAACATTTATTTGCTCATCTCCAAACATGTTATTTTATTAGTCCCCATCCTCCTCTGACTGCACTCACGCATCAAAAATATATCCTACCAAACTTTGCCCCAGAGCCCTGTAATCTCAATTTTTATTGTCAATGAAACTATCAGGTCCAAATAATGTGTTGTTACTATTCCTCTGACAGTGGCTCTCTGAAAACAATGGACACTTTCCCAGTTAAATATACTGAAATGCCAGATAATGCTCCTTGAAGCCAAAGTCCAAATAATGGGCACCATTTTGGCCCACAGTGAAATGCTCAGGAACCATGATTTTTTTAAGTTATAATATGCCTTACTCACTGGCAGAATACAATGATCAGTGTTGCTGGCTATAGCCAGTGGCACTGATCAGGTGAAAAGACCTGAAAGGCTGGTTATACAGAAGTCGATCAAGAGACTGACTTCTGTACAAGCAGCCTGCCCATAGATGGATCAAAATGTGGCTGCTCCCTGCTAAACTGACCGAATATCGATCCATCTATGGCTGGCTTTAGGCTAGGTTTACACTGCTGTGGCTCTGCAAGCCACATTTTGAGGGGGGACGGAAGCCCTATAGCCAGTGCGAGCAAGCCTCTTGGAGGCACCCGCAGCCTATTTCAAGTTGAGGTGCCCATGCTCCTGGAGAATGCCAGGAAAAGGCTTCCCTGCACACCATTTCATGCAGCAGCCCTACAGTGTTTTGAGAGGGCTGCCATGCCTTTTAAAAAGCAGGAAAAAGGGTCCCTGCACCATTTCTGGAATTTCGGCCCCACACACACAGAAACCGCAGGAGCAGTGCAGGTCCTAGTGCGGTAGAAATTTCCAGTGCTGGAGGTGTGCCATTAGAATTAATGGCACTGGCACACATCTCCTGCATTTTTCTGTGCGGGTAGTTGTGGCTGTGAGAACAGATGCAGTCCCGCAGCGGCAATTGCCAGCACAGATGTGAACCTACGCTTAGTGTGTGTGTATGTGTGTGTGTTTATGCAACACTTTTATTAAAGAAAAAAATCTCTTTGCAGTAAGGCCTTGCCCTGTGAAATCAGTTTTTCACGGAGCATTTGATAGTTGATGAAGTTGCATAACGTTGCCTGTGCACCTCCTGATTTAACCCTTAAAATGTAGACCCACTGCACACAACTAGCACAGATAAATGTGTCGCGTTTGGTGATCAGTACTTCCAGTATGCATACACGCCTGTCTGATGCCCCAACGGTAAGTGTAAACCTGAGATAATGCCTGCACCTCCAAAATCCTTTAATATCTAGGGCCAGCATTAAACAAACAATTTAGCCATTTATTTTGAGTGAACTAATTTCCTAGTGCAGTAAAAGTGTGTTGAATGGACAAAATTAATTGGGCGAGATTTACTAAAGCTTGTGAATTCAGAATCTGGTGCAGCTGTGTATGGTAGCCAATCAGCTTCTAACTTCAGCTTGTTCAGTTAAAGTGTTACTAAACCCAGGACCCTGCATTCACTATATCTGATCTCCCACAGTACACAGAACATTGGAAATGCAATTATTTTAGTAAATACAAACTGCTAAATACCTTTTTCTCATCAGCAGTATATAGTAGTCTAGTGACTTCTATCAGTGTCTGGCCAAGCATTGGTTAAAGCTTGAAGGAGGAGTTTTCATTCTCCTTTGATTGTCCTATTAGGCTGCTTAACCCCTGATCCTCTGTCTGGACAGTGCTGATTGGCCCTGTGCTGATCACATGCACCCTCCAAAGAAAAACAAAATCTCTCTAGCCATACATACTAAACTGAGCATGTTCAGAGTGACTCCTAGAGCTCTGTACTATCAGTAGATGGATTGGGGACAGTGGATGATTTGGGGGGGGGGGGGGTCAGAGAAGACAGGATCAAGTCACCTTTTTACACAATGTGAAGGATTAACCCTTTAGGTTCCACAGTGCGGATAACAAGCATGCTTTACTACATATAGTATGATTTTATGTTGAGGATTTAGTAACACTTTAAGCATTGGCAATGCAACCTGGAAGCTGATTTCTATGCAAAGCTGCACCAGATTGTGCACTCTCCAGTTTTAATAAAGAACCCCCCCCCCCCGTGTTTGCTGTGTCTGGTTCAAGGTGTGAGTGAACCACCTGAACCTATAACAGCAGATTCATATCTTTGTAGTTAACAGTGTATATTGCTTGAATGTGCATTATGAATGCAGTACATGCAGTTTGAGCACATAAAGGGAAACACACTCTGAAGACCAGGAGCAATCATTTCCCATTTTAAAGTGAAAATGCTGGTTCTTCAGCTGGAAGCGTTAAACACATTTTACTGCAGGCCATTTGAGAAGAGAAGTCATTAATGATTAATGTTTATTCCCAGAAGTTTTATGTCAACAGGGAAATGGAAGAATTTCTGCTTAAAATGTGCAGGCAGTTTCCTTCTAAAATAATGTTTAGCTTTAAAGGCGCTGGGCTTTATTATATATTTGGAGAAGAGCAGATGGCCTGTTTTCTACAGTTAACTCCCATTGACAGCAATAGAAATAAAGAAGAGGGAAAGTGCCATATCAGCTTTTCTACTTGTACAGTATAAGGGCTATAATCTCCAGAGCCAGATTGCTGGTGCTTGGATATCTAAGGATGTCTGCAAGAGCCTGAGTCACCTTGATTAACTCTGATATCAGCACTGAAGATCCTGAGCCGGAGGAGAGGGAGGGCATAGGCAATGCATTCGCAGTAATGAAGGGCTAGGGATGTCAAGCCATAATCCAGCAGCCGAGTGGCATATAGAAATTTATACACCTGCAAGATGAAAGACAACAGCATTAAGTATTATTGTCTGACCAAGGTGCTTTACTTGCTCCCAATTACCATGAAATGGGCATCAATAAGGAAGCACAAATGTCTGCGCTGGTGCGTAAGGTACAGTAACCCTCAGTAGCCAATGAGAATTCATCGTTTACTGATCCAACAGCAGTAAATGGAGTTCTTACCGCATGAACATTACCCTTACTTTTTTCTATTGCCTCACATTATATGCCCATGAAGAGAAAGAAACACAGCACCCCTGCTGGCTGAATTGAGGTACTGCAGCCAATACTAGCTCAGCTGAATGCAAATTATGCAAAATGGTAACTGGGTGAAGTAGTCTTTTAGCTACATGGGGGCTATTCACTAAAACTGAAGAGTGCAAAATCTGGTGCAGCTCTACATAGAAAACCATCAGCTTCCAGGCTTTATTGCCAAAGCTTAAATGAACAAGCTGAGCTTAGAAGCTAATTGGCTACCATGCACAGCTGCACCAAATTGTGAGTGCTCCAGTTTTTGTAGATGTCCCCCATTGTCTTAAAGCTGAACACTAGGTAAGCAGCTTCATGCACGGCTGATATACATATTTGGGGACTGTTTTTACTTGCCTAATGATCTCTACATTCTCTGCCAGTTCATTGATCCAGACACCCCTGCCAGCCAGAACATCAAGGACCCCCACCTCCACTGCAGCAGCACATATTGATCACAGTTTCAGTATGCTAATTGGACAATGAAGGATCATCAGGACAATTTGTTCTTATCATCATGCTAGGACTTATTAGAATTTATTTATATCCACCTTGACTTCAGATCAACTGTGTCACAAGCTCCTAGGCAGGAGTCAAATGTTTAGGGCCCCTTAATTTCTTTGCTGAGTTGCTATGCATTATTGCATGCACATTAACACGAGCTAGTTCATACATTAGTGTGCACTGCAATAAGGTGGTGGCCCATTCATTTTGAAGGAGCTGGCAATGGATTTCAAGAAAAAAGAAAACATTCCTAAACCATTTTGTAAATCAGAGTTCCACAATGCATGGCATGTGCTGCTGGTACTGGTACTGTACTTGTGCTTTGAGGTGAGTTGAATTTATTGGTGTAAAGCTAGCATAACATTTTGACATTTCTAATATGTTTCATTTAAAGGTTTTATGCTGTAAATAAAAAGAATATAATATCTGTGGTTAAACAACAAAAAATATCTAGCGGCTAGCAAAAGATTTGTTGATCACAAATCAAAGACAATATAAAAATATATGCAGCACTTCAAAACAGCTATAACGTAATAATAAAAATGTAAATGTATATAACTGTGAAACCTGGGAAAATCCAAAAATTAAGATTTGTTAAGCAGCAAACAGAAAACTGGATATTCCTTCTGCCCAGTACACTCAAATAACGTGTGTTGCGCTCAACCTAAGGAAGGCTCACATTTGAGGAAGTTAATGCCGACTTAAGTTGTTGTAACCATATTCACATGTTGTTTTATTATATGTGAGTATATTTTTATTAAATACAATAGTTTCAAAAAGGTTTTACACTATGGAGTGGCTCTCTTCCTCTTTTTGCCTTGCATGGACTGTTACACTGTGAGGATTATTTCTACCCTATTGATGTTCCCGTTTACCATTGAGGCTGCTGCTGTATATTTTTGATACCGGAGGATATCATACAAGCGCTTTTTTACCACTTGTATTGGAAGGGGGTCATTGGGAGCTGGTAAGCATGTATCCCATGATCACTTTTGGGTGATGGTGTCAAGCGGTGGCACTTTATGCTATTAGGAGGGAATGAACTTTCCATTTATCAGTACTTACTAACATTTGGATGGGACTTTTATATACAGACTTTGTTTTACTCACTTTATATTATTATGTGCATATGATTTATATGTTATGTTTGTATATTTTTGTATACATTAATTTAGGTTGAGCACAACACACTCTACTTGAGTAATAATAACAATGTCCATGAACCCTATCAGAATTCATCAGAAATGGTCAGTTTGTAGAAAGGAATCCCAACACCATCTATAGTCCAAAAAGGATTTCACTCGGCACCACAATGATAAAGCCAATCCGCTCACCAGATGATGTTGACACTCAGAATATAGAGTGGTCAAACAATGCTGTTGAGTAGTTTTATCCTCAGGGGCTTCCACCCTTGCTAATATCTCCAATGGTCTATTACTGTTTATGGTGCATAATAAAATTCATCTGAGGTTAGCCAATTAGGTGTGCAGCCTTTTTTCTTCCCTTTCTTTTGTTTTTAATATCTCCAATAGCCAGGTTATACTCAGGATTCCAAGGACATCATCACAATGGATATAAAACACTGGTTAAATACGGGTGACTGCATCTTTAAAAGAGATGCCTGCAGCCTCCAACAACTCCAGACCTCACCACATCACCAGGTTGTAGCATCCATATAGGATAGTACCTCAAAAGGATATAAACACAAACTGTGTGATGTCTTCTCTCCCAGGCACAGCCTCCATGTTCAATTAAAAAAGGTATAACACAGTGTGTTCCCTCATTTAAGCTGGAAAAAGCTATAGCTGCTGATCACAGTAGCAATCACTCCACATAAGAGGTCTCAAACCAGATGTCGGGCTCAAAGGAAACAATGAATAAACATAATGCGCTCCATTTAAGATAAAGTGCATTTATTAAAATTGTTTCATATATATATATATACACACATACACACAGTATATAACCCCTTCCCGCCGAGCGTACGTATATATACAGCCTCACTCGACTGGGCTTTTTTCCATGGGGCGACATGTATATGTATCTGTGTTTGTACTGTGTTTGTACTGGGAGCATGCAGCATAGCATGCGGGTCCCGTACTAACGAATGGACCTGGAACTCCCAGTTCTGGGTCATTTGATTGCTGTTATAGCCTCTGATTGGCTATCACAGTGATGAGTCACTGTGAAGCCTGCCCCCATATTTTCTCTCTCACTGAATGGAGGAGAGAGATACATTGTATCTCTCTCTCTCTCTCCTTGCAGAGAGAAATGCATTTAGGTATCTAGATGTGGTGAAGACAACTTGCTGAAGTTCAAACTGAGCATCAGAATGGGGAAGAAAGGGGATTTAAGTGACTTTGAATGTGACATGGTTGTTGGTGCCAGGCGAGCTGGTCTGAGTATTTCAAAAACTGTTGAACTGCTGAGATTTTCATGCACAGTCATCCCTAGGCTTTACAGAGAGTGGTCTGAAAAAGGGAAAATATCCAGTGAGCAGCAGTTGTGTGGACAAAAATGCCTTGTTGATGTCAGAGGTGAATGGCCAAGCTGGTTCCAGATGATAGAACGGCAACAGTAACTCAAATCACCATTCATTATATCCAAGGTATGTAGAATACCATCTCTGAATGCACAACATGTTGAACCTTGAAGCAGATGGGATACAGCAGTAAAAAAACCACACCGGGTGCCACTCCAATCAGCTAAGAACAGGAAACAGAGGCTGCAATTTGCATAGGTTCACCAAAATTGGACAATAGAAGACTGGAAAACTGTTGCCTGGTGAGTCTCAATTTCAGCTGTGACATTCGGATGGTAGGGTCAGAATTTGGCGTAAACAACATGAAAGCATGGATCCATCTTGCCTTTTAGTAACAGTTCAGGCTGGTGGCGGTGATGTAATGATGTGGGGGATATTTTCTTGGCACTAGCAAGGTGTACCTAATAAAGTGGCTGGTGAGTGTATATGAGGCAAACCTTTTTTTTTATTTGGAGCAGAGTTCCACTTTACATGCTTTATAGTCTTGTTTGAATGCAATGTTCTTTAAATTTAAAAACAGCTTTGCACAGATGTCAGAAATGAGCAGGTGTCTTTTTTACTAGCAGACCAAAAAATACCTATGAAAATTGTATGAAGATTAAGCTAAAGCCTGTAAGGGAGTTTTTAAATCTCCCTACAGGAGCAACAGCAGAAAGGTACTTTTGCTCTGTGTGTGTCTAAATTTTGCAGTGGAAAAGCATATCAAACACTGTTACATTTGTTATGGTATAAATTCGCCAGTCTGCCTGCAGATGAGCACTCTAGTTGATTACACATACAAGAAAAAAGTTGCAAGCATGGTCTTGGCTTAGTTTTTTTCTCATATTTGTGACAACACAGTCCGATAATGCCTGTGATACAGTATCGAACCCCTTTTTCCTCAGTCCAAGCAGTGATAAGCAAATGTGTAGCAGAATGTTAAAAAAACAAATGTTAAAAAAAAAGACAACAATCTCATTGGAAAAAATGAACACTGAAGCCCCATTCACATATTGGGGGCATTCCCGCTCATGCTTTTTGTTATGTGATTTTCATGTGATTTGTATGTCGCGCATAGGGCAGCCAATTCACTTCAATGGGCTGCCCTATAAATGTTTGATGCTCAAAAGAAGCTCCTAATAATTTTGAACGAAAAGTTTAGTGCAATGTTTTAATTCGACAGAATCGCACAACCTTTGGGGTGTCATTAACAACAACAGCACCCAAACACCCATCGCACATTTTGCTAACATATTGTGAACGGGACCTTACTGAGATCCAAACCAAGGATGAGTGCTTAAAAGCCATTGTAAAGGCCTATTTATTTCCATAAAATAATAAACCTGCTCTGTGTAATGGTATTGCACAGAACAGCCCCGTACCTCCTCTTCTGGGGTCCTCTGCCAACACTCTTGGCTCCTTCTGTGTGTGCCTCCATAGTAAGCCACTTGCTATGGGGGCACATGTATGGGCTTGCTCCCAAAGCAGGCTGTGTGTATCCATAGACACACACAGCGTGGCTCAGCCCCACTCACAGGATTTGATTGACAGCAGTAGGAGCCAATGATTCCTGCTGCTGCCTCTGTGTCCTGTTAGGAGAGGAATAGAGACTGAAGATGGGTAGAGCGCTGGATTGAGATAAGACTCAGGTAAGTATTTAAGGCAGTTGAGTGGTGGTAATACAACTACTGGGACAGGGGCGGACTGAAAACTCATGG